CAAGAGAGTCGGCAGGAGGAGGCAGAGGGACCTCTCAGTCTTGCAACTTCTCGTCAAACCCATTTAATCACTTCCTCAGTCTGGGATCTCAGTCCTTGACATCTGGAAGGGAGATGACGCCTTGAGATATGCTGGATTCAAATCCTGGTTTCACAGTTTATCAGCTACGTGGTTTGGGGCCACTGTTGCAGCTCTGGCTTCCTGTTCTGTAAAGTGGGAATGTTGTCATGTCTACTCCATCAAGTTGTTAGAAGACTTCTGTGGGACTGTATATGTTATTTATTTTAAAGTGCTTAGCACTACACTTCACAAAAAGCACATGATCGGTGAATACTAGTTCCCTCCAACCCCCTGCCCCTCTCTTTTTGAGGAGAATGTCTAGGCTGGGGAAGAGAGAGAGGCCTGGCGTGAGAAGACAGGGGCAGGTAAATTAGTTGAGTGGCCATTTCTGCTAAAGCCCTGGGTATCCCTTCCGCCAGTTTCTTTATCAGAGACCACGATAACAGTCTGGTCAATTTCTATTGCAATCTTAAAAACAGTTTTCCTTGACCATAACTAACCATAGCAATTTTACCATGTGAAAAACACTCACTCAGCATTATCGCACCGAAGATGTTTCAAATGAATGAAGAGACACAAAATGAATGAATTACTCAATGCAAAGTTCAAATTTTAAAGACTAGGGCAAGGCCGTTTTCCTAGTGAAACCACACTGTTACCCTGGAATCCAGCCCTCAAATTGGATGTCTCTCCAAAACGTGTGCTGCTGTTTCCCCCTCCTTCTTAATGTGCACATGCCCCAAAGCACTGCTGATACCAGGAGCCAAGAGAAAGCAGCAGGCACCCCCAACTGCGTCCCAGCCATTTTGGAGCAAATAAACTCATTAAGGAAAATTTCAACAATGTATCACCTTTCAGCTTTACTCTGCTAACAGCAGGTAGCTTGCCCTTCAGAGACAGGAATCTGTATTGAAGTCACTATCACTAGTGACTTCAATACAGGACTTGACCTTCATTTTCAGTATATGCAGGATTAAATATTCATCATTCATGTAACTATAGCCTAAGAAGTAGCAGACTGTAAACATGAATCAAAGGAATGAGTATCTTCACACAGGTGAGTCATCCTTTCCCAGAATGCCCCTGGAAAAAGTGGAAATACCCAGGGTCCTGAGCTTCTCTCTTTCCCAACTTTCTCTTGAAGTTCTAGAAGCAGCAGGAACTGCTGCATAATGCAATCCATGAAGGCTGCCCTCACACTGACATCTTGGGGCTTTTTTTCTCATCTATTAGAGAAGAATTATTGCTCCTTTGTCAAAGAGAGAAGACAGGAAGGAAGGGAACCAGTCACAGGGACATCATCACCCACAAAACATCTAAATAACTTTTGACTTAGTTGTACATTTTTTTAAAATCTTTGCTTCTCAGAGTTATCAGAGTGAAAAGAAAGGGTTGGTTGGTATAAGTAAGCACTGGGAGACACAGGAATTAGGAGTTGGAGTGAGGTATGCCTTAAATTGGGCACAGAGCCTTTAAAATGAATGAAAAAGAAATGGAGTTCTTTTCTTTTGGACAATAACTATCTCATGAGGCTAACTTAAGGGGCCCTCCTGGGGGCTGGGATTACTGTGTGTGGCAGGCTTAATGCATCTCTGCGTCTGTTAAGGAATTGGCATTGACGTCCAGCCAACGACTTGGTGGAACAGCTTTCCTCTGCTTGGGTGTTTTTAGAGAGTCTACCACTGCGATGATGAAGCACAATTTTAAGACAATTTAATGTACTTCTCTTTGGCTTTCAACTCCAGAAATTGTGAGAACAATCCATCTCAGCTAGACAGTAATCACTCGATGCTGCACAAGTGGTTCTTCTGTGGGGATCACTCTGGGAAAATGAAGACCCAAAGAAGGCCCTGTCAGACCAATACTGCCCAGGGACCACCTCGGCCTGACAACAGACAGGAGAACACGTGGAGCTGAGAACATATTTGGAAATAACCTAGCCACAGACTCTCGATAGTAAAGCAAGCAGGAAGGGTTAAAAAGACTGTACACCCACTACTTACGACACTTATCTGAAGTGCCTTCCTCATCTGCTGCCCCACACAAGGAGAATGACCACCCAGACCACCTGTCCTCTTGCACAACCTGAACTGGCCTGTTTTGACACTGAACCTGCAGAGTATCACACCTTGAACTTCTGCTGCTGGGGTATCATTCCCCACCATCTAGGGGCAGCCAGCTCTGGTTAAAAGTTATCGAAACAAGCCATTTCATAGGCAATGTCTGCCCAATGAGGCCCACACAAGGGAAAGTCTATGGATTGTGTTTTAAGTTACTTATTAATTTGAAGGGTATAAATACTAATTAAACTTCAATGGAAGAATGGGGGGGGGGTACTTTTTTCCAGAATGATGATTTCATATAAATTCCAAGAAGTTTAAAGCTTTCTTTCCAAGATGCCCATTTCTTTCCAAGTGGCCAGCAAAACCAGTCGTGTGTAAAACCATAACAGTTTTGAATTAAAAAAGATGATTTTTAAGAATTAACAGCCTGCTTTCTTCCCTGATTTTCATTTGCATTTTATGTGTGGATAGAACTTCATTTTATCTTGTTCGCTTTGCCTATAGTTTGCCTAAAAGATTATTTTTACTTTTTTATTACTGGGACTCTGTAGACTTATCATAAAGGTCACTTTATAGATTCCACTTTAATTCTTCCCCTTACTTAAACACACTTGCTGGTTGTCCCCAGAAAGACAGCAGACTTCTTGGTATTGACTCTGCCCATCAGGTCACCTACAGGACAGCACTGTGGTGTATGATTTCAGAACCAAAAGTAATGCAAATGAAAAGCAGAAGGGGCTACAGAAAAACACATAAGTTTTTCTTATGTACGAAGTCTCTTTATGCCAAACCACACAATCTTGTGACAAAGAAGAAAGGCCAAGTTTAGGATGAGGCTAGGCCAGTCCCCAGGGGGAGTGAGGACAGTCTTGGTTCTAAGACTACTCGCACTTTTGCTGGGAAAAGCTGAGAACAGAATGGAAGGTGCATCCTTGGAGTAAACTTGCTGCAAGTCCATACAAGAACCTGAACCAGAGAGGACCCACAATGCCGGCTTCCCAAGGCTCAATCAGAACAAAATCCAAAAGGCACTGCAGAAGTGCAGGGCATCCGAGGAAAAGGGTTTTGCCCGTGGAAGTCCGCCAGGATCGAAGTGCACCGCTGCCTCACAGTAGACGCTATAAAGAAGGACACAACTCAGACCCATCCAACAAGAGTATTTTATTTTAACTGAGAAATACAGAGGAGCGGGAAGAAGGGCAAAGAAAAGAAGGTGCTGAGGCATCTGTCCTAAACAAGAGACACACTCACCTCCACTTAAGGTCTGCTCAATCTGGGGCATACAGACCACATGCCCAAACCCATGTCCTGAGCCCTGGCACAGAAGTTGGCAGGGCTGCACCCCAAGAAATATGAGAACACCGCTCACGCCTGGAGAGAGAATGGAGAAATAAGACTGGGGGGCTTTAAAAGATCTTTGCTTCTATTCAAGTAGGATCGAAATTATTAAGCGTAGATAATTAAAAGGGGCTTACCTTCAATGATATCCCACTTGTTGAGTTTTCCAAATTGAAAAAGCTCTTCTTCTCTTTCTTGGCCAGGAAGAGCTGATGGAGAAGTGTGAGGCATCTCATCTCCTGGAGAACTTTTAAAGGCCCCTCCACCTGAGATGGGTGAGGGCAGCCCAGCCTTGCGTGTGGGGACAGACTGAAGGACCCGAGAGTCTGGGACGTGGCTGATTCCCAGAGACAAGTAATTGGTGCTGATATTTTCTTTATCTTCCCTAACATGACATTTTGGCCTTGGCATCCGTGTGCACAAAATCCTTTGGCTGCTGATGAGATGCCTCTGAGAAATTCAGAGTTTAGGTGTGTATGAAAGTATTACCATCCTGAGCCACAGAAAAAGAACGCAAGCTCAGAATGTAGACGCATCAGGGCCTGTGCCAATAGGAACATCAGGGGGTTTCCTGGGGTCTGACTCTAGCATCCAGCCATACCAGGGACAGAGCTCAAGGAGTAAGAAACACTCTCATAGTGAACAGTGAAGACAAAGAGCTCAAGACCACTGTCCAGTGTCAAGTTCACGTCACCACAGAAAGGCCAGTGGGGCCATCACAGTTCCAGTTTCCCAAGTGCTGTCAGCTTCAAAATTGCTATAGAATAATTGGAAGGAATGATGCCCCCAGCGGTGATGCCTGCAGGAACAAGGGCAGGACTGGCCACACCTAGCGGCTCTGCTCAGTGACTTCTGCCTCCTACACGCCCTTTACCATCTGTCACACGGACCCCATCGCAAGCCCACCCTAAAGGAGCAGTTCACCCTGCTGGCACCCAAAGATCTTCATGAGTGTCCACTCCAGAAATTCTCAGATGGCCATGATCCTCCACCTCTGGGAGTCATCATGAACTCCTCTGCCCCATCTTCTTACCTTCCCAAGCCAAGACGCACCAGCAGGCAATGCTTCAGCTAAATATTTGGTTGGTAGGATAGTATAGCACTTTCTAACTGACCTCAAATAAGATTAAAGCATTGGAAACTCTTAAAAAGAGAAGAACCCTCACACCTTGGCAAGAATGGCTCAGCCCCTCACCTGTTGGACACTATAACTTTTCAGAGGTTGCAAATGCACATCCAAACCTCTTGACATCTTCAGTGCAAATGCTTCAACAGGAAATAGCTATTTAAAAATGAATAGTACCCAGCAAAACGGCTTGAACTCAGATACCCTTCCCTCCCTCTCATAGCAGAATCCTTCCTTCTGAGACCTTGCTTTCCCATTCAGAAAATCGGCACAAACAGCCCTGCCTTCCTCTAAAGGTCTTCCACACTCAGCAGGTTCTCACGAAGCTCAGTGTTAAAGTAAACCATTGATCGATGTAAAGGTTCACGACTGTGTTAGAAACAGAGGGCATGACAATGGATTTGAATACTCACTTTGACGAATCTATGAAGTATATTACAAGTGCACCAATGCTGAGAGCAAAGACTAAGACAACCTGCAAAACAAGAGAAAAATGCCATCACTTAAGGGCTGAACAACACTGGGATGTTTATCTTTTTAACTTTATGACACATGTAGCCACAGCTCGGAAACCTGGTGCCAACTGCCTCCCAGGGCCTGCCTGGAAATCTCACGCCCTTGTCCCCTGGTGTGGGCTCCTTGCCCTGCGGTAGGCAGCAACCTCCCTGCTGGCCCACAGGGGTTGGGGCAGCCCCCTACATCCTGGCTGCAGCTCTTCATCTGGCCCTGTCACCTCGGGGTGAAGCTTCTCCACAACTAAAGTTAACACACTTTAGTTGGTAAAGAGCAGATAGAATTTTGGAGTGATACCATTTTTCATATTGTATGCAATCTAGGCCCCAAGGGCACTCAAATACAGGAATACCGATTTTTAACAGCCTTAACGAGGTGTAATTTACATACCATAAAATTCACCCATTTTAAATGTGCAGTCCAATCAATGACTTTGAATGACTTTACTGAGTTGTGCAGCCACCACCGTGCTGGCACTTCGGAACATTTTCATCCTGTCAGAAACATCCCGTGTGCCCATCAACAGGTAATCCCCATTCCCACCCCTGCCCCAGACAGCCACTAATTCACTTTGTTTCTATGTGAAAAATATCCGTCGAAAAGCGCAACTTTAGACTGGACTTTGCATGCTGAACACACAGTGTACAGATGATGTATTAGAGAGCTGTATACCTCAAACCTGTATAATTCTATGAAACAATGTCACCCCCAAATTTTAATAAAGATTCTTTTAAAAGGTCCTATGATTTCTAGGACCAAGCACATCTCCTCTTTCCCACTGATTTCTGGAAGCCAGGAACATCTGGCTACAATTTTGTTCATTCAGCACCTAACAGTTCATCCAGGCAAATGAGTAAGTCCTTTAGATAGAGATGGTCTTATAATGTTGATCTCAAGTTGTATTTGTTTCAATAGACTTATAGTAAAATATAGGGGGGAAAAGAAAAGCACAAATCTGGTGCTTCTACAAACATCCATGTGCTGGCGTGGGGGACAGTTCTAAGTATTTTCGAAACCACTAAGGTGAAGAACACCAAACAAGGAAATACATGAGGCCAGCTATATGGCAATCCTCATTCTCCTTCACACTCTTCACTCAAACGTAATCACCTTTGAGAGAAAGGACAGGTGGGCATCTCCTTCAGAGAACACCTGTCCCACGAAGTCCATCAAATGAATACATAGCAGACCGGGCTGATCCTGACACCGCTCTGCTTGCTCAACATTCTAATTTGTTTATTTAATCTTTCACAGAGGAGACTAGTGGTCCAGCTCATAGGATGTTCAAATATAAAAGAGACGCTAAGAGTTGATGATTATTAACCTTGAGAACAAAAAGTAAACACCACCACCACACACAGTGCCAGAGGGCCACAAATACCTGTCAGACCTGCTAATTTCCAAAAGAGACTGGAGGTTGAAAGGGGTCAGAAGTGTCAGTCTCCTCAGAGTATCTGTTAATACCTCTCTGGCACTGGTTAGTGGATAAATTCCAGATCAGGTAAAATTAGCTGCGTGCGTGCATGTGGGTGGGTCACTCTCACATACCTGTACTTGTGTCTGCACCACAGTGGCTACCAGAGAATGAAATCTGCACATTCATTTTGAACAATGCAAAACTCTGTGGAGCTACAAGGGAGGGATGGTGAGCTGCACATTAAAAGCTGACAGGTAAAGCAACTGGACACTGTGAAAGGATTATGTAGTTCCACAGCACCTGGTAAATCATCCGTATGAGAGGAAGTGTTAGGACACCACTCAGGCCTATTTTATTCTTTAATTTTATTCAATTCTAAAATGTGCCCCACTTGAATCCAAGGAAACTCCTGCTTTCTGTCAGTAATTACCATGAATCGAGACCAAAACCACGGGCAGCTCATCTCAGCCTCTCACTGCACACACACTCATCCATTCATTCATTCCTTGCAAAGTTATGCATGAACCCCCCCCAACAAAAAAAAACACAAACAGTCCTCTGCTTTTCCCTTTATTATCTGAATGAGGCAGTAAAACACATAGCTTAAGATTAATTCTGATCTTTGCTATTTCTGAGACAAGCAGTTAGATTCTGGCCCTGATCTCATTCTCAAAATGTTGCGAAGGGGTTTGGCCAGAACAGAGGGGAAAGACTTCCTCTTCATTCATAAACAGATGATTCAAAACTAATCTCTGTCAATTTGGCTGCGTGCATGTGTTCATGTGTGTATATGAATGCTGGGCCTCGGTCAAACTGCAGACACAGGCTTATTATTCCATTAAAGGCTGGAGTGGAAAGGAGGAGAAAGGCAAGGGGGAGGGGGAAATGCATGGCGAGAGGAGAGGAGAAGAAGGAAAGAAGTCCTTGCAAATGGCATCCACATCATTCTGAAATGAGTTCAAAATCCATGCTCTCCTGCAGTGGTAATGACTTTCCAGCCTTGGGAACGGCCAAAGAAGCTAACACGAGTTTCTCCCAGTGCCTCCCACTGGTCCCTGTGATAGAAAATAGCGTGCAGCTTACTTAAACAAATCAGCCAGTGACAGGAGGGAAGGAATCTCGCTATCCTCTTAAGATGCAAACTCAACTATCAGCATCTCTCTGGTAAGGCCAAGGAGGCAAGACATGCAGGAGGCAGATACCTCCAAATCCCCAGCAACTGGAGATTCTGCTAAGTGGGCCTCTGCTTGGGTCCTAATCTTCAGCTGGAAGGCCTTCTCTCAAGGAGGTACAGGTTGCTCAGACTTCTCCCACCTACCCACCTGCCTCCAGGCATGAAATGATCAATGGGCAGAAGATACGTTTCTCCATACTGAAACAACTGTGCATGTGATTTTTAAACTTGCTAAATGCCTCTTTATCATGTCAGGCTTGATTACACTGTCAGCCTGGATCCAAGTGCTACGGAAAATAAATCAGTCCTTTGGGTTTGGCCATGAAAACAGGAATCCAACAGAGATTCATCTTCTACGAGTCCTAGCAAAGGATGTGTTCTCTCTTTCTCTCATCTTCAAAAAAAAAGTCAGTTTTACTCTACAAAATGATTTTTTACTTTAATCAAACATGGTAATAGTAATGCTATACAGCACCCCTAAATAATCATCTAAGTATTTATTCCACATCTGCAATGCATCAAGCCCTAGGAAAAAACAAAACAAAAATGTTCACTTGGAGTCATGAAATATAATCCTTTCTAGAGTAATCCTTACATAGATGAATCCTATGCTAGTATCTAATCAGTGCTCAGTTGTGTGATATTGGTCTAATCAATATATAAGCTATTGATTCAGTGTAACATACCTGAATGGAGAAGCTAGGAATGGTAGGGGCAGGGGCTCTTGTCCCAATATCCTCCTCACAGTGTCCCTTCTTCCTATATGTTGTGTCTCCTCTCATAACCCTTCAGCAGGAGGATGGCCATGGGGAGTCCATCCAAGTGTTTCCATGGTCCAAAGGATAAGGAACACTGAGACCCCAGGGACACAATAAGATGAGGCCAAGAAAAGCGGAAAATCTGAGACAGGAAAACACCCTTTAGCAGCTGAGTCACAGAGTACCCCTTACAATGACAAAGCACCTTATAAAGTACTCTCTGAAACAAGAGCTTGTGAATGTAGTCTGACCAAGGGGATAATGTGAGTATGCCCTCTCAGGGTACATCTTGCACTGACCTTCACTAGAGCCTGTCCAGCCTTTCTAACTTTTCATAGTCTCAGTTACCTTGGCTACTTTGCATGGCACTGACTGTCATATTCTTCTGTTTATTGAAAACACACACAGGCTGTGTGGTAATAGTCAGTACTGAGTGATGTTTACAGAGTTACAGATTCCTAAAAACAAAATTAATTGATAAATGTCATTGAAACAATGATGCTTATGACTCATCTATTTTCAAAACTCCAAGAGCAAACATGATGTGTTTGCACAGAAGAATGCCAAGAACACACACTCACACAGTGTACTGAAAGAATGCCTGTCCCCTAACACCTGCTGCCGGGAGACTGTTGATAACTGGAGGGTAGAGAGAGAATATTCACAGTCATCTTCACGATGGAAATTCAATAGGCTCTGAGGATTTTCCAAATGTCTCAGAAAGTTCGTAAAAGTGGGAAACAGCATGGCAAAGCACAGAACGCCCACCCTTGGGCCACTGTGGCTGTTCAAGGAAAGGACAGGTTCAGAAATGAGAATGTGGAAATGAATGAACCAGGAAAGTTGACTGCAGAGATGCTGTCTGTCTAGAACTGGGTTTCAGGTCGTCAGGTCTGGGCTCAAATGTTTTCAATAAACATGAGGCTATGTGGGCCTTCAGACATGAATTTAAAGCAGGGGCTCACAAAGGTGACTACCACCAGATACAATCACCTCGAGAGCTTTCCTTGAAAAACAGAGACACCCTCGTCTGCCCTGAGACCAGAAAATCTTGAGCTTGGGGAGAGGGCGAAGTCGAACATCTCTTATTTTTAACAAGCTCCTCTGGTGAATCTGATGTGTGGCCAAGAATGGGAGTCACTGAATTAAAGCCATTAATGGAAACCACTTAGCTCAAGTCAGAGATTAATTCACAAATGTCTCCTTAGCAATTAGCCCATTAGAACATATGCATGAGGCCTGCAGGCTTTGAGAATCATGCTAGGGGTACTCGAAAAAGTACAGAGAGGAAGATGAATTAATTCTCTCCTGAGCAGGTTTTACACATTCTGCTGAGCTCCCAGCGGAACAAATGACCCTAATTAATGATTCTGCATGTTTGACTGGGGCTGCCTAGCCAGCTACTGGCAGCCACAACCCCTTAGAATGTGGACAACTTTCTATATATAATCCTGAAGGCACATGACCTTTTTATTGAGGGGTGATTTACATACGATAAAATTCATTGTTTTAAAAAAAATAGACATGAGAGAGAGCTCCCAAGGCAAAATAATCTGGCAACGTTTTGTTTTGGGGAGACAACATCATTCCAACATACAAATTATAATGTTCGG